GCCCGCACGGCAGAGCCTGGCAAGCTCCCCGTGACGTATTCGATATGCCAGACACAGTAACAACAAAGTCTCCAATGGAGACGTTACTGGGCCTGCTCGAGCAAATCGAGGAACAGCGGGAGGGCCTTTACCTTTACCTTAGTATGGCACTTGGCTGGCCCGTTTTGATGCCAGGGTAGCTCACAGCTTGCCCTAGATCCATCCAGTCCCTCGTCGGGACCCTGATTTTGGGGTGCTAGGAATTTAGGGCAACTGAGGCTTAAGTCAAGAAAACAGATGCCCAGGAGTGAATATTATTCGGAGTCAATTAGCTCCCAAGTTACAAAAGCATAGCATTAACTGTCTTCCTGTGTCTCTGCAAAAAGGACATTGCTCTGAAGTAAACTATGCCAGGAACGTAAGGGAAGGAGAAAAGCAATATTGCACTTACAAATACAAAATCGTAGATTTCTTAGAAGGAGCTGACCTTACAAGTCAACAGAGTCTGATTTGGGAATAAAGGTGGTTGACCGACTGGGGAAGCAGAGCACAGAGAAGAGGTTCAAGATAAACACAAAGGAATGGGAGTGCCTCGGGAGCACTGTGATGGGTGTATCACGCTAAACCTAAGCTCCCTACGGCCAGGGAGAAACAACAAACCAATGTTATCCTACACTGTTGCTTTCCCTCTGGTGACCACCATAGTTTTCACTGAGTCCGGGAGTTCGTCTTGTTGTTTATTACAAGTCGGTTTGTTTGAGTCATTCATATTCTGCAGATGAGTCAAAACATCCGGGAACTGTCTCTGGCTTCCGGATCGTTCCGTGAGCAGTCACTCCACAGTCCATCCATTTCCTCCCATGGGGCATCATTTCCGTGTCTAATGGCAGCATCATACCCCCGGGCTCCACAGCCTCGGTCCTTCACCCCTCATCTGTGGACAGTCATCTGGATGAATCCCATAGCCTTGTTCTTGCGAGTGATGGGTGGGGGGTGTAAACACTCTTTCAGACGAGTGTTTTCATAGACTTTGGACAGATGTCTGGGTGTGATATTGCTGGATCCCATGGAATTCACATTTTTATCTTCTGAGGAATCTCCAGACGGTTTTCCATAGTAGCTGCAACAGCTTGCTTTCCGACCAGAAGTGCCCAGTGCCTCCTTTTCCTCCACCTCCTCACCGACACTTGTTTCTGTCTTTTCCATCCAGGTGCCTCTCACAGTTGTGGTGTTAACGCACTGAGGTGTTGATTAACAGTGCCCATCCAAAAGTAATAATCAACATTCCCCCCCACTCCACAACCATCCAAGGACCATCTGTGTGTTTGTCTCCAGAGAAGTGTCTGCTCAGGATGCCACCCAACCCCATATCTTTTTTAATTTTTAATAGTAAGACATCATGAGGTACAGTTGCAGACTTACACATTTTTGTGCTTGGGTTTCAATTATACAATGATCAAATACCCATCCTTCCACCAGTGCCCATTTCCCACCACCATGGATCCCAGTATCCCTCCCACCCCCATGCCCCCATCCCACCCTGCCTCTGTGGCAGGGCATTCCGTTTTGTTCTCTCTCTCTTATTGCCAACCCCGTATCTTTAAAATCGGGTTATGGATACTATAGTGCCACCTGCAAATAGCGCTAGATTTATTTCTTCTTCTTTTCCAAGACATGCGTTCCTGGCATGTCTTCTTCTTGCCTGATTTCTCTGGCCAGGCAAAGCTCTGGTAAAAAGTGACAGTGAGAACGGCATCCTTCTTGCTCCAGCTTGGGGGGTGGGGGGAGCTGGGAGAATCCCAAGCAGTGCCAGGGTCCCGAGAACTACTCCCAGCAGTGCTGGGGAGGGACACATATGGTTCTGAGGGTGGAACTCGGGGCCTCATGCATGCTCCGGCATCTTGAGCCATCTTCCTCTCTTTCTAGTTCCAGATTTTAAAGGGAAAACTTTCCACTTTTCCACCATTGAGTCAGCTGTTAGCTGTGGCCTTTATTACTTGCTTTTTCTTGTACTTGGTCTGGGGCTTTTGGGTGTGTCTTTCACACCCAAAGCTCATCCCAGCATCACGAGCTACACTGGACGTGCTCAGCGGTCACCTCAGCTGGTAACCACCTCATGGGAGATTGATCAGGATCAATAAGATGAAATGGTCAACGTCTTCATGAAACTGGTGCCCCAGACTCGCTATTTTGAAAAATTGTGGTTTTTGGATATCCTTTTTCCTCCTCGACTCTTTTGTGTTTATTTTACCAATTTCATATTTTCAGATGTGCTTGTAGCACTGCATCATTCTTTCCTATAAAGCACTGAGAATTTTAGAACTGGCCATGACATTTTATGGGTTAGAGTTGCTGTCTCATTTACCTCTCCACTTCCAGCTCTCTCTCTCTCTCTTCTCTAAACTCTCCTCTATAAAGCAGTTTAGCAATATGTTCCCAGAATGTGTGGATAAGTGACATTCGGGGCTTTGGAAGCCAAGCTGCATTTTTCTTGTTCCCCTTTTTGCATCTGTGTGTATTTCTCCAGTGTCTAACATCTGACGTAAACTTGCTTTTTGGTCTTCACTATATGCTAAAGAATGCAGCCCAAAAGGGATCCCGCGCTCTGGAGAATTTGCCAAGGACATGCTGTTCCATCTTTACAATGAAACGCAGATTTCCCATTAAAAGGCAAATCCATCATGTCAGAAGGATGAGTCGGATGGTGCATTAAAAAACAAGCAACCAACCAGCTGCTTATATGTAGGGCACTGAAAAACGTCCAAAGCGTTCCTGGGTCACCAGCATTTTCCTTTTGGTATATATTGGATTGTCATTCGTTCAACCTAAGGGCTCGCCTCTTAGAATTCTGTCTCGAAAGGTTTGACAACTGTTCAAACAAGTCAGAGTCAACATGATGCTTGGTCTACTCACATGTTGTGACATGCCATTTCTACTACCCTGGTATTTTGGGCTGGGGACATAGCTCAGCAGACGAGCACGTGGACAACCCCAGGCTCAATCCCCTGGGCTCAATTTTGGGAGGAAAAAGAACAAAAACAGAAAACAAACCAAAGATGATTTATGTAAGAGAGGTGTTAAGCTAAAATCCTGAGATTCTGTTTATTGTTGTCATCTAATGATGTCAGTCCATTTTTTTTTGTCTTATAAAGGGAAACAGAGACCCTGGTGTTTGCTCAAAGATGATTCATTTCTCTACAAGAAACTTTGGAATCTTCTCCCTAGTGCTTTGCTTCTTGGTGTTTATCCTGAGACTTCTACCACTGCCACTGAGGGTTTTTCCCCCCCCCCCCCCCAAGCTTCTAGAAAGTTCTCTCTGATGTTTCTGCCTTCCAGCACAGCCATGTTGTTCTTTCACGGGCCCCTTCAGTCATATCATTCTCTCTTTCTTCCTCATTTCCTGGGGCTCGGTTTCAATCACTGGGCCAGGTTGACGGCACAGAGTTGAACCCATGCCTCACATGTGGCCGGCCAGGGATTGAGAACCCTTCCAGTTGCCCCCAAATGGAAGAAAACAAAACTAGATTTCGGAAGCAAGTCAGCCACAAACAAAGCTTGTCCTGCCCGCAGAGAACAGTAGGGCCTGACCCAAAAAGTTCTGACCCCTATTCTGAGCCGACCCCCACATTCTCAGGAACAAAAAGGTGTGCTCTCCACACTTCTGCAGAGGGCCGTGCCTCCAGCACCCCGCAAAGTTAGTTGCTAAAGCCCTAGATATGCCTCCGTAGTCTTCACTTTGGGGGAGCCCTCGGCCTCACCTTGCACCCCGCTCCTTCTCCAGGACTCTGCTCCGGGGTCCCCAAGGCGAGCTCCGGAAAGCACCCTCATTCCAATGGCCATGTATGTCCTTTGTTTTTCAGCTCTTCGACTTCCAGGCTTCCCTCCCCAGGATTGAACTAAAGAATCACACACTTGGGGCTGGAGCTCTGGTACAGCGGGGAAGGCTTTGTCTGTGCACGAGGCCAACCCGGGTTCGATTCCCAGCATCCCATAGGGCCTCCTGAGCACTGCTAGGAGTAGTAATTCCTGAGTGCAGAGCCAGGAGCCTGCCCTGTGCATCGCCGAGTGTGAACCAGAAAATAAAAAAAAAATTCAAAAAAGAATTACACATTTCCGGGCAGGGGAGCAAGCTCGGGGGTCAGGGGTGTGTTCCTTGCCTGCACAGGGAGGCACATGCCTCGCCCCTGGCTGACCCTGGACACTGCCCCGAAGGTGTCCGAGCACAGCTGGACACTGAGGGGTTTGAGTAGCGCTGTCTTGCCAGGCGGGAGCATTGAACCTTCAGCCCAGTTGGTTGAGGAACACCAAGAGTTCCCCCAGGCTGCCTCTGCACTACTTGGGAGGCATCCCCAGCCCCCCAAAACTGTTGTTTTCAAAGAGCATCTGTACTAGTTACTATCAGTTCATATCTGATGGGCTTTTTTCCCCCTTTCGATTTCCCCACCCCTTTTGTGGACCCTCTTCCAGATTCCAGTGAGAGATGTCCTTTCTGGACACAGTGCCCAGAGGATATTTCATCCTGGGGCCCCGGAGCCGCACCCCCCATCCCCCACTCCCCCACCCCTGTGCCCTGCCAGCCCTGGCTATCAAAACTGCTTAGGCTGCAAAAAAAAAGAAGGGGGGAAAAAGAAACATGAAATGAAATCCATCTGGCATTTCTCATTGAATTAGGACCAGAACATTTTTGTTAAATATTAACAGATGGCTAAATTCTTAATATCAAGCTAGCATTAAAAACATCTAACAGGGAGGAAAGGAATGGGGGGGGGCATGTGTTCTCCCCATTACTGCCCCCCTACCTTTTCATTTTCCCTCCTCCTCTGCCCCCAGCCACCCCAGTGTCCACTGCCACCAGCGATTTCTTCCTCGACGGCTGCTCCTCCAGGGCCACTGGGACCCACCTCGTGTGTGATCGTATCAGAGCACTGTTGTCGCTTGCCGCCAAGGGCACGCTTCGAGGTGCTTTGTTGAAGTTGACACTTTCTCTCTCTCTCTCTCTCTCTCTCTCTCTCTCTCTCTAGGAAAAGGAGAAGAAGTACATGCTGCCCTTGGATAATCTGAAGGTCCGAGATGTGGAAAAGAGCTTCATGTCTAGCAAGCATATTTTTGCCCTCTTTAACACAGAGCAGAGGTGAGCTCCCGTCTCGGTGGTTTGCCTGCATTTTATTGATGGGTTTTAATTTTTTTTAATTTTATTTAATTATTTATTTATTTTGGGCTGGAGCGATAGCACAGCGGTAGGGCGTTTGCCTTGCACACAGCCAACATGGCCAACCCGAGTTCGATTCTTCCGCCCCTCTCGGAGAGCCCGGCAAGCTACCGAGAGTATCTCGCCCGCACGGCAGAGCCTGGCAAGCTCCCCGTGACGTATTCGATATGCCAGACACAGTAACAACAAAGTCTCCAATGGAGACGTTACTGGGCCCGCTCGAGCAAATCGATGAACGACGGGAGGACAGTGACAATGACAATGTGATTTGTTTTGGCTCTGGGTGTTTGGGTTATACCTGGTTCTGTTCAAGGGCTACTCCTGGCTCTTGGCCAGGAATCAAACCCAGTTCCCCATAGGCAAAGCATGCACTAAGATATCTCTTTGGCCCTTGAACTCCCCCACAACACGGCCCCTCCCCGCCAACTTGTTCCAGCAGTTACATCCGCTGTCATTTCCTGGGCCCCACCTTGAAATTCATTAACTCTCCAGTTTTCCTGAGTGTCGCCTTTGGAGCCTCCACCATGGCTTATGAATTCCAAGGATTAAAACTTAGACACCCAGGGGCTGGAGCGATAGCACAGCGGGTAGGGCATTTGCCTTGCACAAGGCTGACCCAGGTTCGATTTCCAGCATCCCATAGGGTCCCCCGAGCACCGCCAGGAGTAATTCCTGAGTGCGTGAGCCAGGAGCAACCCCTGTGCATCGCCGGGTGGGACCCCAAAAGCAAAAAAGAAAAAAAAAGATCCCAAAACTTAGACACCTACCCAGTGACTAGCTTAAGGCCCACTTTTCTCGCAAACACCCACATCACAAAACTTTTCAACTACCGTTTGGGTGTTATGCTTCTAAGGATTCCAAGAATTGGAACCAGGTAGCCCTGATGTTATAGTTTCAGTCTTTAGAAGGAACTGGAGGCAGGGGTGCATGTCACTGGAGACTTAAATTGTTACGTCGGGGCACATATGCTGTGCAAGCCCGTGTGCTGCTTGTGCCCACGTCACTGAGCACGTGTGTCACCCGCATATCCTCACTTGAGATGTGGACTTTGGTGCTTCTGTATCTAATGATGGGGGGTGTGTAGGGGCTCTCTCTGCCCTTGGAGAAGACCGCATTCTCCCTTGAGCGCCTCTCTCTCTCTTTCTCTCTCTTGTTTTACATCAAACACAAATTTTTTTTTTTTTTGCTTTTTGGGTCACACCTGGTGATGCCCAGGTGTTACTCCTGGCTTATGCACATAGGAATCACTCCTGGCGGTGCTCGGGGGACCCTAAGGGATGCCGGGAATCGAACCCGGGTCGGCCGAGTGCAAGGCAAACGCCCTCCCCACTGTGCTATCGCTCCAGCCCCTGCCTGGGTTTTCTTAACCGTTGTCTGAGAGTTGGAAGATGGGACCAGTGTGGTTTGCCTTTCCTTAAGGGTTCGTGGACTCGGTCCAGACAGCATCATGCGTGTATCTTGGGATCCAGGACCAGGGGCGGGGGGGGGGTGGGGGCGAGTCTTCTCTTCCTGCTTTCTCTCTCGCATTTGTCTTCCCCACTTCCCTTCTGCTTTCTCTCCTCCCAGCCCAAACGCTAGGCGGGGCCGAGGAGTCTGGGGTGCCACTCCCCCGAGGAGTCTGGGGTGCTCCCAGAACCCAGCGGAGAAGCGCCGTGGACAGTGAAAAGAAGGACAATGGATAGCGCCCTGGCGAGGGCTTCCCAGGAAAGGGCAATCGAGGCGAATTTTTTTTTTCCCCTCCCCAGATGGAAATGTCATAGGAAAAAGCGAATTAATTTCTGGGAGCCCGTGATTAAGAGGCTGAGTCACGAGGTGGCGGGACTCCGGTCCTGCCTCTCCAGCCCTTTCATCTTTATTTAGCACCAAGTGAGCGCTGTGCCTTGATTAGGTTCAAGGACTGGCCCAGGGTCAATCCCCTAGTGAGTCACCACCGCCAGAGGTTTAGGGCCGCCTTCACCACCACCCCCTCCCCCCAAGCCTCTCCCCCACCCGTCCCCATTCCCGACAGTGGCTCCGAGTGACTCACTGCACAGAAACACTCAGGCCAGCCACCAGAGCGAGGCACCGGGCGAGCCCAGGAGACCACGCAATGTAGCACTGGCACTGAACCCCAAACAGGGAGCTGCGTGCGTCCAATGCTTCGGTGCCGGGAGACCCCCAAATGTGATGGAGAATGGAGGAAGGGGCGGGTAGGTCCTGGGACCAGGGCTACGCAGGCTCAGCTCTGTACCTGTGGACAGTGGGGCCAGCTCAGAGGGGAGGACCGTGCCCTGGTGACCACACTCTTTCCCACGGTGGGGAAACCTGCCCCCAGGGGGCGCTGGAAGCACGGGGGGTGGCAAGGCCACAGTTGTGGGGTGCTGCAGGGGAGGGCGGGACCCACCTTCTGTTTGCTCCCTTAAACGGTAGATTCCCGGGGGGGCCACCCGAGTGACTTTTTCTTCTTGGGAAGGCGGCTGGCAGCCACCTACGTCTGGGACTCTCCGGTCCACAGGGGCAGACTCACCATGCCGCCTTGTCAGCCTGCAGAGTTCCAGTTGTCCGAGGGTTTGGGTCCAAGCCACAAATGAGACATCCCGGGCTCGTTCTCTCAGATGAAGTGCAGCTGTGGGCACTCCGAGGGGAAAAAGGCACCAAAATAAAAAAAGCCACAGGTCCGTGAAGACCTCAGCCTTCTGGTGGTCGGACGCTTTCCTGGGCATTGGATGCTCAGCGTTCCCAAGACACCTCCCTGACTCCTCAGAGGTCCAGCAGGGGTCCGGTCCTTGACAAGCCGACCGTTGTCTCTTCCTGAAGTACTTTAGGAGTGCCGACTGTTTTTATACTGGGTAGGACCTCCAATATAATTGGGCGTCCTGGTCTTGCTTCTGATGTTTTAAAAAAGATTTATTTAATTATTTGGCTTTTTGAGTCACACCCGGCGATGCTCAGGGGTTCCTCCTGGCTCTGCACTCAGGAATTACTCTCGGTGGTGCTCGTGGGACCATATGGGATGCCGGGGATTGAACCCGGGTCAGCCACTTGCAAGGCAAACGCCCTCCCCGCTGGACTATTGTTCTGGCCCCTTGCTTCTGATTTTTTTAAGAGGAATTATTTCAGAACTGGATAGTTCAATGTTGTTATCTCATAGGCACCTGCTCTCTGAAAAAGAAGATCCTCCTTGTCTTCTGTTACTGAAGGTTCTGCTTTTCTGCCTTTTTTTTTTTTTGGGTCACACCCAGTGATACACAGTGGTTACTCCTGGCTCTGAACTCAGGAATTACTCTTGGAGGTGCTGGGGGCCTATATGGGATGCTGGGAATCGAACCCGGGTTGGCCGTGTGCAAGGCAAATGCCCTACCCGCTATGCTATCGCTCCAGCCCCTGCTTTTTGTTTTTTAATCACAGATGCCAGCTGATTTTTTTCTCCCAGAATGCTTTTTCTGCCTCTCCGTAGACTATTGCATGATTTTGCTTAATTTCGTATACTTTCTTGGGGTGAAATCCATGAGTAGAACTTCTGATGTCAAACCATCCTTTGATTATCCTGGGATTGGGCCCAGGTAAACCATGATGCATGTATATTCATTACTCATTCTTGGCTAGAAGTTTGCATCTGTGTTCACAGGAGAAGTTGGCCTGCAACTGTCCTTTTTCATGGACTTCTTACCAAAATTTTGTGTCCAGGTTTTGCAAGGTTTATCAGTGGTGGCCGGGATAATTTCTTAGTGTTCTTTGCAGCACTTTGTATGAAATAGAGATTAACTATTGATGTTCGGGAGTACCCGCCTATAAAACCTGCCGGCATTGGTGGGAAGTTTGGGGAATATGGTGGACATTTGGCCGGTTTTCATTGTATTTAATAAAGAGAGATTTGATTTGTTCTGGTGAATTTACAAAAAAGGAGGACAGTGGGGGAATTCCAGGTGTGGGGTGAATTGGTTTCTGTGTGGATGGTAACATCTGACCAGATCACTGGAATGGATTCCATAGTGACTCTTGCAGTGACTTTAGCCACTTAATTCAGTGCTCAGTAGCCAGTGGCAGAGCGTAGGTGCAGTCACAGCATAACTGGCATCACTGAGGGGGGTGTTCATTGGGTCTGGATTGTACTCAGTGGAACAAATCCCCCGAAGCAGGAGCAGGAGGTGACGGGGATGGCGCTAAATTTGTTGGTCACCACACGTAGGTAAGAAGCAACTCATTTCTTCTTTTTTTTTCTTTTTTTGGGTCACACCCGGCGATGCACAGGGGTTCCTCCTGGCTCTGCACTCAGGAATTACTCCTGGAGGTGCTCGGGGGACCCTATGGGATGCTGGGGATTGAACCCAGGCCAATGCCCTCCCCACTGAGCTATCGCTTCCCAAGAAGCAACTAATTTCAAAGGCAAGGTTATTCCTAGTTAGAGAAACAAACTTCCTTATATGTTTCCAAAGGGTTTATGGGACTGGGCTCACTCCCCAGTGATGTTGCGTATTTAATATTAATTGTAGAGGGGAAACCATGAGTCGAAAAAGCCATATGCATTGTGTAACCCCACCAGCTCTCCTTAAAGGATATTCTTTCCACTACTTGCCTTGCTTCTATGACTCGGGCTGGAGCAATAGCACAGCGGTAGGGCATTCGCCTTACAAGCGGCCAACATGGCCGACCCGAGTTCGATTCCTCTGCCCCTCTCGGAGAGCCCGGCAAGCTACCGAGAGTATTCAATATGCCAAACACAGTAACAACAAAGTCTCCAATGGAGACGTTACTGGGTCCGCTCGAGCAAATCGACGATCATCGGGAGGGCCTTTACCTTTTACCTTATGGTTTCCCTTTTTTTCCCTGAAACAAGATCTTTCAAGAAAGGAAGCTATTCTCTTTCCTTGCCTTTTGGTGAACGGACTCTTGGTGAATTCATCGGTCCTTTCCCTCAGTGTACCTGTTGATCTCAGCATGCT